GATATCGATCGAGTTTGAACTTAGGAAAAGCCTGAGTTCATCATTGTTTTTGACCAGGCCCCGTGCGTTCCATAATCCGATTTTTAACAGCGGATTTAACATTTGGATATTAGTTTTTGTACCAAGTCACGGAAGGCTCTATTGGAATCCATATTTTCCTGTATGAGCTTATACATTTGATCCATTCTTGCGTTTAGATCTAAAATCGCCTTTTCCAGCATACTAAATTTGTTGTTTAGATGCCAATCTTCGGCGGAACTGTGTGATCGGGGCGAGTTTTGGTTTGTTGGCGCGCTGGTACGTTTTTCTCCAATTGGCCTAGCTGCATCAGCATAAGAGAAGCCACTCTTAACAGTAGAGTTTGAGATAAACTGTACTTTAGTGCCTTGGTTATTTGGGTAACTCCTATTGCTACCGATAACTAGTCCATCTTTCGGCAACCTCACAGCTGGCTTAAGTTTTTTGGCTAGATCAATTCTTACCTTGCAGCCTCTGAAGCTCGACATGTGGTCTTCGCCGCAATTAGCGCATATAAATTCCCCATTATCATTCAGGTTACATGATTTTGAGCCAGTATCATGGTCCCCCGAGCATTTACCGCAAACCGGCTTTTTAAGGCAATAGTTCCTCGTGTGCCCGAAATCTTGGCATCTGAAGCATTGTACCAGCTCTTTACTCTGTTTGGCCTTTGATATTGTAACCCTGTGTCTACCAATTTGAGTTATTTTTAGTGCCTCAGCAACGTTGGGTGCGTTCTGGAGGTTAACGTAAAACATATTTTGTCTTGTTTTAACATTATTTATGTCCTCACCATCCTCCTCATTAATTTGAATGTTACGCCAGTCCGGTTTTCTGGGGCAATATATATTCAAAACTGTAAAGCCCTTGTCGGTAAAGGTGCGCTCTATTAATTGCCTGGGTACATTGGGATGAATATCTCTGAGCACCAATCTGCAGGGTTTGTTCTCCTTCAACTGGTGGTGCCAGAATTGACAATTTTGATTGGACAATAATTTGATTATTGCACGAAACGCATTCGAATTCTTCGTATAAATACGCGAGATCCCAGATTTCGATGTGCGTATGTCGTAATCGTTAGGGGAGACAGCAGAATTGAGCGCCACCTCCAGCTTATCCAATTTGTTGACTTGTGGCACACATATAGCAGGAGGCTTAGGAATACTACTTCCCTGCTGGAAACGGCTGGCTTCATTTTGCTGGCTCGATGGATCTTCGGAATCTGGCTCTTCCATTTCCATAATGGAATCAGCTTCTTCCGAAAGGGCTGCAAATCTATTATTTTGAAGCGCTGGCGGAGAGGAGGACGCAGTTCGTTGTCCCTGGGTTGTATTGACAGGAGTTGGCTTATTTTTTTGAGCCGATTTTAGTGACTCGACGGCTCCTTTCCGCTTCCTATTAATACCGGGTACTGGCATTTGAAACGAGCAAAATTTGTCCAGAGTTGGATTTGCAACTAAGTTTGTCATTGAAGCCGGTGTACTCACAACGGCGGGTGTGGAGCACAAACTGCCATTTGATGTCGCTACTGTAGTATACATTGATTGAGAGTTCACCACAGAAAATGTTAGGGTACTTGTAGTCGATGTACAAGTGGTTGAGGCAATCCAGTTACTGGTTGAGATTGACGGCTTTAAGTATGGTTTTCCCATTGACATATGCAAGTCCTTGGTTATTTTTGCTCTCAGCTCCGAAGGTGATTTACCAGAAATTTTTCTCATCTCCACGTACTTCGGCAGCTTATTGACTACTTCCTCAGCTGCTCCGAGAGCGGCCGAGTCTTCATCAGCATTCATTTACGTGAGATAAGATGACTTGCAAAACAAGCAAAGAAGAAAAATTCTGGGCTGTCTCTGCTCCGATGACGTGTATACGTCAGCAGAGCAGCCCCATACAGCAGATTAATTGTTGATTGGAATCCAAGAAAATAAGGATACTAAACGATTGCCAAAAAGCCAAGGTGAAACTAGGTTTCCGGGTGGTTTTTTTTTTTTTTTAACGCACTATACGCGAAATAATTGAAAAAGAGGAATTTATTACAATTTTTCGATTTATGGATTAAATTATTTAAATCAGAAGGGCACACTAAGCAAAAGGTTTAACAAATTTTTCATCTCCAATGAATTTGATTTCACGATCATAGATATCTCTGCTAATCATAGCAATTGGCCTGTGACAGGAAGAGATTGGCAATTACCAACTTAGTTTCTTTATACAACCAACTTGAAAAAAGCTATCCACAAACTATTGCTGAGCAGTGTTTGTTTGCCATGCGCTGTGAATGTTTGTGGCATCCTCAGTCGTCGTGCGCTAAATCGTTTAGCGTAATCAACGTGCCAGTGTCGGCGTTTATAACTTCAGGCCAAACACCTGCAAAAGTTCCCAGCTGGTGTATTCCGTTAACCCTAACTGGTCATGACAAGCGAGCGCGCAAGCAGGCGAACAACCGATGCTAGTTGCAAAACCCTCAGGGTTAAGCAACATGTGCCGCATATATAGAAGCGGAGGTGAGAGGGGAATGGGGAGTCGAAGTCGTGGAAAGGGAGCTTAGCTTTATACTATACTAGACGACAAGCCGTCCGGTTGGCGGTCGCCCATCGTATTGAGCCGGAAAAGCTTGCAGATGATGGGCGTGAAAACCCCGAAAATGTGTTACGAAAGCGCAGAAAATACTTGTTCATTGTTAAGGACGACAGGAGCGAAAAGTGGGTGGGTGGCTTGGTGGCTGGTTGGTTGTGTGAGTGTGAGTGTGTCGAAGTATAAGTAGAGGACAGAAAGAGTTGCACATGAATGGACGTAGTGACTGTTAAATCACATCAATTCATGTTTAATGGCAAGCACATGTCGCATCTGGCGGATATGGAGCTGTAGTTGGAAGTGGCGCCGAAGCTGGAGCTGCACACATAAATATCCTGTAAATAGTTTCGCGGATATTACAATGTGACGCCTGTGCATGACACAGTCGGAGATATGAGCATTGACAGACAGGCGCAATGACTGGCTCCTGGCTCCTTAGCTGAGTGACAGCCTGACAAACTGACTGACTAACTGACTGAATCACTGGCTGACTGACTATTTGAATGATGAGCTGCAAGCGCCAACTTGCAGCGGTCTGGCGTTATGGCAACCATTTTAATAACATATTTATTCTATGGGAGTGCACTTGATACGCAGTAGTATTTCAGAGCGACTTGGTGCATTAATTCGCTTCTTTTATGCTGAGCATAAAATTGTGCCATAAAGTATTTCTCTATGCTTTGGCTTCAAATTAAATTGTTTGCTTTTGTATTACAGAAAAATAAGCTTTTGTCTGTGCCATACGGGCAAAACAAAATGTTCTTGTTGAATTGATAAATGCGGAAAAACTCAAAGAGACGCAAGTATTTCACTTGATATTTATTGAGAAAAAATCTCTGTATAGAAGTAGCATTTGAAGCCATAATAGTATATTGTTAAAAATATTGTTGATGCTGACAAAGCGCGCTTTCTATATAAATAACACTCAATTATGAGCGCTATTATTATTTATATATAGAAATACAGCAATTTAATGCGCCTTTTATTCAATTCCTTGGAACTAATTAAATTCACTTTCGAAATATGAAACGCCTAAATGTGCTTAATGGGCTCACAGTATTTTAAAAATCAATTGCTATCATAATCAAATCGAAATTTGCAGATGTGAAGTACAGAAATATGACATACATAGGTCGAGAGTTTTCCATTCAACCTTAATCTACTTCGCTACTTATGTCTGAAATCGTCTGAAGTAACTTAAAAGAAGGAAAACCTATGAAGAATTTTATAAGACAGATGATCAGAAAACTTTAAAGTTTATGCTGCAAAGGTTTTTGTTGGTTTTTTAGCTAGTCATATTTTTCGAATGAATGATTTGAATAAATTCAATTAAACAACATCCAAAAACTGAATAAAAGGAAGTTGGAATTGCTATAAATTAAATTATTATTGTTTAATTAATATAAAACTTTAGCTCTTAAAGCGGAACCATCTTAGTTTTAGTTTTTCTCCAACTTCATTCACTAACAACTGTCTGCTTCTTCTCTCGTTCTTAATGTGGGGAAACTTCTTTTGAGTGAATATACAATATTAAGTTTCATAAAGTGCAGGCCATAAAAGTTCTGCTTACATCGCCTTAGGAGGTCTTAAAGTTTTCCACAGCAGCTTCGCAATGTTTCCTTTCTTGTCTCTGCAAACGACACATGTTTGGCATTAAAAATATGTGTGTGTGTGTGTGTGTTTAGGCTTTTGTGTAGGAGTTGCGAGTCCTAAATATATATACTTCATATAAGCCCCTAAACAAAATCAAGTGACACAATAAAAATTATGACAATATCACGCACAGAAAAGTAGGCAGGCGGCCATATGCGACACTGCTTCATTGTTTTAACGTCACGTATTACATAATAAACTGTTGTGAATAGGCCGGCAAATTTAATAACAACTTCTACATATTACTAATACGCACACACTCACACACACACACACACACACTCAGGACGTGTCCAACACGTCGACAACACATGTGCTTCGGTCCTATCTTAAGCAATATCTAAACTCATAGGCCATAGATGGGTTTTCGCTTCCTTCTTTCGAGCTCGCTTTCTATGTGGTTTTCTATTTCTTTTCTTTTTTGATTTTTTTTCCGAACATTTGGCACTTGCCGAGCTTATTACATGACCATTTTTGGGGTTCTGGTTTTTGTTCTTGTTTTTGCTTTTGGTTTTGCGCTACATTTTGTTTATTAAATGCAAATAAAGATAAACATTATTAAAACAGAGCCGCCAGACAAAGCCGAAGACATTTTTTGTTATTACCATGCACATACTCCTTCACAGATGGGCATGTTGTATTTACATACATACAAACATGCATACATACATACATACATACATATTAATATGCCTATACATATAAATTGCTTTATCTATGCCACACTTTCGGCCTCTCCAGCTAACACTCACCGTCTTGTTGCCCAAATGCTTGACACGACAGCCTAAATATGCGGATTTGCCCACCAGGGATGTAATATTCCTTGGCATTGTCAGATCAAAATACGGCTCATTCCATTTGTGGCCATGTGGATAATGTAATGGTGGCAGATGTGTGGGCTTTGGATCTACATTATTATGATTGTTGTTATTTACAGATTGCCGCTGGTAACACATTGTGAGGCCTGCAATGAAAGAGAAAGTGAGAAAGTGAAAGCAAGAGTGAATAAATGTATAGAAAAAGTTGTTTCGTATTTAAAAAAGGCCGCGAGACAAATTGTTGTCGAGGACTGATTGCGATTGTGAGCGGCTTTAAGCGTATTCTACGCCCTACAGTTGCCATAACAAATTGCACATTAATGTGGCAGGCTTTTACCCATCATCTCCGTTCTGGCCACGTGCCTTCTACCACGTTTTGGTTGGCACAGTTGATGCCAGTTGAGTGACGCAATTTTTGCGTGTCTGCCTGTTAGAGACCATATCCTTGAGGCCAGCACACAGCCCACAGCGCACAACACACAACTACACTAATACACATAAGTGTCTGCTTAAGTGCTGCGACACACACACACACACACACACACAGGCACACGCACACACACTAACGAACACACCCACACATGTTTGTGGAAGAAAAATGAAACCGGAGAAATGTGCAAAAAGGTAAAAGCTTAGATACACAAAACTAGCAGAGTTACAGCTTAACATGTTGTAGTTTAATTAAAACGATGACACATGCCGTATGTGTACATACAGACATACACACACACACACGCACACACACACACTCACTGAGCACACACCCCACAATTTGCAACTGAAAACTGAAATTGTGGAAATGACAAACTCATTGTGCCAAGCTCAAGTGGCATTCATATGTCTGTGTGTATCTATGTATGTACGAGTATGAATGTATATTTTCATGCCTGGCCGACTGACAGGAGCAAAGTGTGCCACAAAGTGTTGTAGTTGTAGATACTTTCCCTATTCCTGCCACTATGCATTTCATTAATGGGGTGCCGACTGTCTAATTTGCCAATTACTCGACTTGGGGCGCAATGTACAGCCAGGACATTTGCTTTTATAGGACTTCGTCCACTTCTACTGGCATAAATGGGTTAATGCGAAACGCATAACTTCATTAACTGGCGAAATAAACTTTCCACCAACTTGCGAACTGCATAAAGTTTTTCCTGTCGTATGCATTCGACAGCATCTCTATTGTGTTATAACAACAACAACAGCAGGAATAGCTGAAGCACTAGGAACAACAACAAATGTAAAAGGCTCTATACAGAAGATACACAATGTCGCAATCGTGTCATTCAAATTTGACGAAGGACATTACAGTGCTTAGTTAGCTTTTTTTTTTTATAACAACTAGTATAAATAGTTTATTTCGCTTATCAGTAAATTTAATCAAATTCTCTTTAAACCATTTTCATTATTTGAAATTCTCATTATTGCATTTTCTCATGAATAAGGATTATTTGTTTTTATTAAAAATACATTAAAATAGTTAAAGAACTAATGTTTAATATGTCCTTTTATTTTCTAAAATATATTTGAAAAAAACATATTTTCATTTAATTTTTCGGACTTTCGGAAATTCCCTAAAATTGTGAGAAATGAGTTAAATAAATAAAATAGATCACAGAATTTAGTGAAATAAAAAAACTCTTTATAGATTTAAATATTTTTTTAACACAAAATGTTTGTCTAAATTAATTTTTTATTTTAATATTACGACTCTTGTTATGTCAGGCATTATTTCAATTAAGGCATTTAAGACTTGTTTAGCGATGCCTTAAAAAATCATTTAGATATTTTGAAAAGTAAAGAAACAACTTCTCTTTACTTAACGAGACTGCATCTCTATGTTTCTGCGTCTCTCAAAATATAAAAGTTTTGCCCCCTTTTGAGCTAGTGCGTAGTTAACAAGTTAATGGATTAACGAACTATTTCCGCAAACTGATGCATTAATTGAATAGATATTTTAAAGTTCTTCGAGAACGGAAACTTGCAGCTGGCAAATTGAGCTGGCAACTTAAAGCCTGGCATATGGCAATTGCACAAACGCTTGTGGCTATTGGAGCTTTGCCAATCAATTTAATAGAGCTGTGAACAGGACGAGGATGTTTATTTAAGCAAGCCAAGTGTCGTTTATCCTGTCGGCTGAAGAAGTGCTTGTGAATGCCATAAAACTTTAAGAGGGTGCAAATGCTTCTATTGTCGCTGCCCCGAGCGGCACACAAGCGCCTTTGACAGGATTCAGAAAATGCTATGACAGACTGGCAGGGTTGCAGGCTGGCTAACTGGGGAAAAGGAAGGACGAGAGCAGGCAGGAGCCTTGCAAAATGTGCAAATAGTAAGAACCAAGTGAATGCAAATACGCGCAGCAATGGAATTCTGCATGCGTATTGCTTTTATGAAACTGCAAATACCTGTAGTTGCTATACAAATGCATGTGTACGCACACACACACACACACACACACACACCCACATTCATATTGAGATTGCTTTTATGGAGAGCATCAATAGGCTGTACCATCATCATCATCCATAGAGGCTGGTAGCCTGCTCGAAATCTTTTGTGCTGCTGACGACCTCATCTATGCCCGAGCTCTATAGTGCACTAGAAAAATCGCTCGGCCGTGCAGCAAGCTACACGCACAAAAGTAGGCAATACTAAATTATTAAAGAGGCGTGCTCGGAAAATTGTGCTCTTCAGCTGCTGCTGTTGCTGCTGCTGCTGCTGCTGAATATTTAAGAAGCCCAAATGAAGGTCAAGGCAGTGGCACGTTTTATAAATAAATAACAGGCATTAATAATAACACTCTCGGGCCAAAAATAGCTTGGCACCTCGGTAATGAATACAATTCCAATACATGTATAAGTACAATAACATATATCGATATTAACGTATATTAATTTGGCTATAAATCAATTAAATTTGCTGTCAAAGTGCACGCTTGTTATGTTGAGATGGGAGCCATAATTTATGTAGCCCCTGTGAACATATTACGCATACGCCCTGTGGCCAAGGGCCATAGAGCCAACGAAGCAGGCAGCCGGTGACAATTTATGATTGATTCGCTTTGCGGCACGCTTGCAACGACAACGGTAGTCACAAAGCCATTGACCAATTGTTCATTTGCATACACACATACAAATGTAAATGTGTGTGCACACCATTCACAGGTTATGGTATACGCTAATGAATGAAACGTCGAGTGTGTGTGTGTTTGTGCGCAGGTACAGTGGATTTTCTGATAACTGTTTTACGGTTAACACTATTAACTATTTACTATTGTTATAACATGTATTGAGCCCAATTTATATTTAATTTGTCAAAAGCTAACAGATAAGTCATTTACAAACGATCATTGTTATGATATAAAAAACGATGCGATTGTCTTATTAGTTGTATTTTCCAAGTCGAAATACTATCCATAGAAAATGCAATTCTTACCTAGAAACGGCACACCCCATTTTTACAGTGAAGGCATTTCCTTAAAATCAAATCTACTCTACTCTATAACCTCTTTTGGAAAAACCAACAGCACATTTGTACTGTATTTCCGAGGTGTGCTATAAGATGAAATCTTCACTTCGTTTAGGCTTGTCTGTACCTATCGTTTAGCAAGCATTATGAATCATTTATGCTTAAGGCCTTGCGCTCTCATTTTACGCCGCATTAGATCCACATCCGCTGCAGACGTCTAACGACAAAGCAATTGGTCATGACGGCCATTAGAAGGTAATGCAAAGGGTGTCTGTGTGTGTGTGTGTGGTTGTGTAAAGAGCTTAAGAAAGAGGCACACACCCATGGAAAATGGCAAATGAAAATGTAAAATCTGAGTGCTTTGTGGCGGCTAAAATGCTTACGCGCACTTCAACCGTATCTCTAACATGTGTAAAATTGCAGCTTTAATAATTTAAAAGGCCAACGCATAGCAGAAGCGGCAACAGCGAGCCAGAGAATGGACGAAGAATGAGTAAATGAACGGGGCAGAGAATGAGAGAATGGTAAGCTTGCTTGCATGCAAAATGTTGCCTCAATTAAAGATAAGTATCAAAGTGCATGATGGCATAACCAGAAGCCAGTCATGAGTAACAAAATGATTGTCTTACATGCATTACAAGTTACACGCTCCTTCGTTGCTCCGCTGCTGCTTCACTTCCTGCGCACACCTGGCGTATGAGCAATTTTTTACAATGTCTGCTTGGCTGCCTGGCTGCCTCTGACTGCCTCTGACTGCCTTGCTCCGACCTCGCTGCAGCTCATTTTTCATAGACAAGCAACAACATGCCGCATTTGCCGTTAAATTTGCGCCATTTTTACTGCAATTTATACACAATGCCAGCACAAAAACAAATCAACGCGAAAGAAAGAAACAAATACAAGTACGAGTATAATACAAAAAATGGAATGGTAAAATAAAATAAAAATCCATGCCAGGTTGCCGCCTCTTGTTGGTCATTGCTTGTTAACACACCCAATGGGAGTTATTAATGTTTGTGGCCCTTATTTATAGTCCTCAGTCAGGGAGTCAGGCTGGGGGGCAGGCAGTCCCTGCTTCGATGGCACTAGCACACAGCAGCAGTCACAAGTCCCCCTCGCTCATTTTTTACACGTCCCACAGCGTCAGCGAGCGGGAAACTGGGGGAATGGGGGACTGGCGGACTGTCAGCGCCCGCAATTCTCGCCGTTGATTTAAATTTGGCTGTAGTTAATTTTTAACCCAATTTTGTCGAGTTTTTATTTATGCGCAACGCCCCTTTAGTGTTGCAGTTTGCAGCGTCTGCGTAAGCTGAACAGGAATTGCTTCAACTTGCCTCCGACTTTAAGCTTTCGACATTTTACGAATTGAAGTCGTTTCCGTCTACCGTCTTCTGCAATCGTTTCCTGTAAGCGAGCTACCAACTTCAATCATCATTTGCAAATCCAATTGTAATTGAAGTCTGTGCGCGCATCTGTGTGTGTGTGTGAGTGCATGTGTGTATGTGTGTATATGTGTGAGTGCAGCAGTCAGACCTGACAAACCGGCAAGAGGTAAAGCAGCATACAACAACGTTGCAGGCAAACCATTAAATACAGTAAAATATGGATAAGAAAAACCCATTTCTAGGTTTAAAGCTTCAATTTTTGATATTAAATTGTTATCTTAAAAACTAAAAAT